TTCGGCTGCAGAGCTACGTTGTATCAACAGTTGTTCTTTAGACATAGCCCCACCTCTCTACTGTCACAGTCTGAGATGCAGGTGAATGAGAGTCCTGGCTGTCAGGCCGCTGAGAGCTGTCTGACCAATGGCTGATTCTGGCTGATTCTGTGGGGGTGGGGCTTCCTCCTCCCTGCTGTCAGTTTCCACAGCTGTGATGAGGAAGCTGGGTGACAGAGGGAGCTGTGCCCTCCAAGCCGCCCTCCCTCTCGCTCTGCTCTATGTCCAGTGGTCTCCTGCTCTGCCAAGTCCTCCAAACCTCCCGCTCTCCGCCTGCTCTCCCGCTCTGCTCTCTGCCCGTGAAGGTCCCGGGAGCCCGCGGGCATAGCTTGGCACAGCCAGCCTCGCCTCCCAGGGCTGGCGATGGTCCCGGGAGCCCACGGCCACCTTTACCTCTCAGGGCGCTTGACACCTGCATATGCAAATTAACCTGCCATTTTTGTCAGGTTTATTTGCATACCCACTCCTGATTGGCTGGTAGGCGTGGCTTGTGGGCATTGCGGAGGGATGGTCAGTTTGCATCATTCTCTTTTATTATTATAGACTAGAGGCCCGGTGCACAAAAATTTGTGCACTCGGGGGGGAGGGGGTGTCCCTCAGCCCGGCCTGTGCCCTCTCGCAGCCTGGGACCCCTCGGGAGATAACGACCTGCTGGCTTAGGCCTGCTCCCGGGTGGCAGAGGGCAGGCCCAATCCCTAGGTACAGCCCCTGGTCGGGCTCAGAGCAGGGCCGATTGGCGAGTTGGGGCACCGCCCCGTCATGAACAGAGCAGGGCGGATCGGCAGGTTGCGATGCCACCCTCAGTCACGCTCAGGGTAGGGCCGACTGGGGGGTTGGGGCACCGCCCCCTGTCACACTCAAGGCAGGGTCGATGGGGAGGTTGCGGCACCACCCCCTGTCACACACAGAGCAGGGCCAATCAGGGGGTTGGGGCACTGCCCCCTGTCACTCACAGAGCAGGGCCCATCAGGGGAGTTGGGGCTCCGTACCCTGTCACTCACAGAGCAGGGCCCATCAGGGGGGTTGGGGCTCCGTACCCTGTCACTCACAGAGCAGGGTTGATCAGGGGGTTGGGGAGCTCCCCCCTGTCACACACAGAGCAGGGCCCATCAGGGGGTTGGGGAGCTCCCCCCTGTCACGCACAGAGCAGGGCCCATCAGGGGGTTGAGGAGCTCCCTCCTGTCACTCACAGAGTAGGGCCGATAGGGGAGTTGGGGCACTGCCCCCTGTCACACACAGAGCAGGGCGGATCAGGGCGCCGCACCCTGTCACACTCAGGGCAGGGCCAATGGGGAGGTTATGGCTCTACCCCGTCACACACAGAACAGGGCCCGTGGGGGGGGGGGGCATTTGGGGCGCCACACCCTGTCACATACACAGCAGGGCTGATCAGGGGGTTGGGGCGCCACACCCTGTCACACACAGAGCCGCAGGGTGATCAGGTGGTTGGGGAGTTCCCCCCTATCAGGCACAGAACAAGGGTGCCTGGCCAGCCTGGGTGAGGGGATGATGGCTGTTTGCAGCTGGTCACACCCCCTTCAGGGTGGGGGTCCCCACTGGGGGGCCTGGCCAGCCTGGATGAGAGGATGAGGGCTGTTTGCAGCTGGTCACACCCCCTTCAGTGTGGGGGTCCCCACTGGGGTGCCTGGCCAGTCTGGGTGAGGGGCTGAGGGCTGTTTTCAGGCCGGGGGGTGACTGAAGCTCCCAACTGCTCCTCTTTTTCTTTTTCTTTTTTTATTCTGGGCCAGCTTCAGCTCTGAGGCTTGGCTCCAGCTCTGAGGCCTCGGCTGCTGATAGCAGGTATCTGGTTTGTTTGGGTTCTATAATCGAAACACTGTTTCAACTCCAGCTCTGAGATCCTGGCTGGCTGAAAGCAGGTTTCTGGGGTTTTGTTTAGATTCTATATTTGTAACAATGTTTCAAACTGCAAGCTCAGAGGCCAGCAGCGGCAGGTGGGGAAGGTTGGCTTCCTCTGTCACTGAAGCAAGCAAGCCCCATGTTCGCTTCAAGCTGCCTGGCTGATGGCCGCCATCTTGGACGGCAGTTAATTTGCATATCACCCTGATTAGCCAATGGGAAGGGTAGCAGAGGTACGGCTAATTACCATATTTCTCTTTTATTAGATAGGATATTTTTTATTGATTTCAGAGAGGAAGGGAGAGGGAGAGAGAGACAGAAACATCAATGATGAGAGAGAATCATTGATTAGCAGCCTCCAGCACACCCCCTACTGGGGATGGAGCCCACAACCCAGGCATGTGCCCTTGACCGGAATTGAACCTGGGACCCTCAGTCTGTAGGCCAACGCTCTATCCACTGAGCCAAACCAGCCAGGGCTTAAAGCAGTTTCTTTAAATCAGTGTCAAGGGAGAAAATGAAAGAGAACTGGACATACTGTGTGCACACGAGTCAGCACTGTCCCGTGTCAGTCCCACAGCATCTCATTTAAACTGTTCAGGCATGGGCTTTAGCATGTTGCAGCCATCGCCACACTGATCTGAGCACGTGTGTCAGCGCTGAAAGAAACCCACACCCAGCGGCGGTCTCTGTCCACCCCAGCCCCGCCCCAGCCACTGCAGCCGCCCACTGCCTGTCTCTACTCAGGGCCAGACCTCTGTGCCCATGAAGGGGATGGCCCTGCGGGGGCAGCTGGCTGCCCGGAGCCTCCCTGCTGCAGGCGGGCGCGATGTGGCCGGGTCCAGGGAGAGCGTGGTGCTCCCTTGGGGGCAGTGTTAACTGCAAAGCTTGCTCACTAAACCCAGCGCGGGCCGGGACCAGGCTACCGATGTTCAGGGAGCGCACTGGGTGGCTGCCAGCCAGGACACGCCAGCTTAAAGTTCAGCCGCTTCCTGGCACTTTCTCCTCCTCCGAGGGAGGCCCTGCTGCGGTGGCTTTGGGGGAGTGAGTCCGGAGATGCTTTGAGATCGCTGTTGCAGTAAATAGTGTGACAATGTTTATCGTTAAGCCTTCGCTGGAAACTTCCCATCACGGCAGGAAGCTGTCTGTGAACAGTCACTGGTGGTGCCAGGCTCGGGGGCAGCGCATGCCCGGCCTGTGGGTGCCGCCGGACGGCAGCCGTCTGCGCGCTCATGTCCTCCGCCTTAGCTGGGGCCTGGGAGGCCTCCGAGGCGCTCTCCTCTGCCCGGAGCGTCTCCTTTGGTTAGCAAGCCATTCGGTGGGGGCAGGGACAGTCTCCGAGGCCCGTCCAGGCCACAAGCTCGGCTGGAACCGGTTTTCAGATCCCCAGGCGAGAGCTTCCCTCGGGACTGTGGGCCATCTCTCGCCTTCACCTACACCGTCTGCAACGACTCCCGTCTGCCTGTGACTCTCGGGTGAAGCGTGCCCTCCTTCTGGGTGACCGTGGTGGCCCCGGTCACTCCGCACAGACCTCCACAATGCACGGCGAGGCCACGGCGTGCCCTGGGCGGGCAGGCACCGGGCTTGTTTGTTCCTTTGTAGCAGCTAAAGGAAGAGACAGGGAAAGGCCACGGAAAATGCTTGTCATTATCGTTGCCTTCATGTCTAATGCTGTGGGACAGGTGTGTGCGCGTGTGTGTGTGTGTGTGTGTGTGTGTGTGTGTGTAGAAGGTGGAGGACGGCAGTGTGGCTTCAACTGTGGCTTAAAGGAGAAACAGGCAGGATGTTTCCAGAGCCCTGGTGGCTCTAGGCAGAACCATGGGTGGTGCCGACCGTGGCGGACCCCCAGCCCTGACCTCTGGTGTTCAGGGTCAGCAGCACCACACGGAAGCAGCGCGGGAGCGTCAGAGCCTTTGTCCCGTTTTAGTTTGGCAATAGAGACGCAGGGCCTGTGGATCAGCGGCGTCCTGGGGCTCCCTGCCGGCCGGCGCCCCCTTCGGGACCATGTGCAGCCCGTCGCTCAGTCCCCGGGAGAATCGGCACCGGCCGGCGAGCCTGTGGGACCCCAGCTTTCTCTGCGATCCGTGCAGGTGGCGTTCAGAGCAGGTGCACGTCCAGCAAGTGACAGTGTGGGAGGGGGTCAGCCGGAGGGGGGGGCTCTTGTGATCCTGGAACCCGGGCGACATGTTCTCAGTCTCGTTTCATAACAACGGCTGTTTTATGAGAGCAGCGGGGACTGGCGTGAGGGCTGCCTGCCGGGTCCGCGGGCGGGGCTGGGCGTCTGCTCAGACATGGCGCTGAATTAGGAAGCGGCGGGCGTGGCGGAGCAGCTGCTGGCGAGGCCCCAGCCGTCCCGAGAGCCCGCGGCCCTGCCAGGTGCTGCGCGGCACGAGGGGCGCCTTCCGAGCGATGCGGGTGCTGGAGGTGGCGCTGGTGCACGTGCTTCCTCGCCCGCTTGCCACAGGAGCCGCTGCCCGGCTGTCACTGTCCGGGCCGCTTCGCCCGGTTCCCGTGTCACCACGCGTGCCGCCAGCAGCTCGTGGGGAACGCGTCGGCCTGGACGTGAGAAGGGCTGCGGGGTCAGGACGGCCCAGACTCCTCACAGTGGTGCCCTGGAGTCATGCGCACACGTGATGGGGCGGCCCCTGGCCCCGGCGGCATTGACGTGTTAGCGCGTGGTCTCTGCCAGCGGAGAACACCAGCTCCTCCCGCCCAGAGCGAGCTGTGTGTCCCGCTGCTCCCGACGCCGGCGGCAGGTTCACGGGCGCCTGTGCTTCAGGTCGGCTCCGTCGTTAAAACCACCGCGACCACGCAGCCCACGCGGCCCAGCCTCCCAGCCAGTGCGCTCGGGGCGGCGAGCCGCCGACAGACGGTGGACGGAGCGCTCTGCCTGCTGGGCCTCCGCTGGAGATGACGTCAGAGGTCCTGGCGGTTCCTGTCTCCTGTTCCCGGCACGAAGGAGAGTGGGGTCAGCGCTAGAAAGCGCCCGATGGAGCACGGGCCGGGCCCGCGAGGCTGTGCAGGCTCAGGGCCCGTGGGCAGGTCCCTCCTGACTGCGCCTTCTCCTCTGCTCTGAGCTGACGCGGCTCTCCCTCTCTCTGCAGGTGCACCTTCCGCTTCCCCAGCACGGCCATCAAGATCCAGTTCACGGCGCTCTACCCCCAGGAGGAGGCCCCCGCCTCGCCGCTGCGGCCGCTCTACCCCCAGATCTCCCCTCTGAGGATCCACATTCCGGAGCCGGACCTCCGGAGCCTGGTCAGCCCCATCCCCTCCCCGACCGGCACCATCAGGTGAGCAGCTCAGCCCCGGGAGGCACACGGGCTCTGCCAGGGCCTCGGACCACAGGCACCGCTGTGAGTGCAGGGCTGTGCTAGCGGCTGGTCTGCCTCCCTGTGCACCAGGCTCGCCGCGAACCCGCGAACCTCCCTGGGCCAGGCTCCCCTTGGGAACCACACGCGGGTTCATCTCTGTGATGATCCGTGTCGCTGGCGCCTGTTTTCCACCGAGACGTGTTGGTCACACGTTGGGAGTCGCTGGCATTGAGCTGCAGGAGTCGGTTCCCCCGGGCCCGTGAGAGGCGTGTCCTGCTCCTGCAGAGAGAGTTCGGGGGCAGCTGCAAATGGCCCCGCTCCAGTCCCGGCCTGGCCCGGGGGGGGGGGGGGCAGGCAGCGGGGGGGGGGGGGCAGCCCCCCGGGGGGTGGGGCAGGCTCCTCGCCCGGGCCTTGTGTCTGTCCTCAGTGCCGTCCGCGCTGTGCTGCTCCGCGTGGCCAGCACTCACCAAAGCTCTGCTCGAGCTTGTTTTACTCGTCCTGCTGGCTCTGCTCTGAGGCCCAGACTTAGCTGCGTCCTTGTGTGTCCACACTTCGAACCCAAGTTTCGAGGGAGGCCCCACCTGAGCCCAGGCTTAGATTGTGCTGTGCAGTGCTCCTGCCTTTCCACGCATGTGATGAGCACAGGGGTAGAACGTAGTGCAGCACAGCCAGCGGCCTCTGGAAAACAGTCTGCAGTTCTTCACAGTTCAGCAGTGTTCCGTCCGACCCAGCCGTGCACTGGGCCCGAGGTCGCATAGAAGCGCGCACGCCGGGCTCGGCAGGGAGGTCGCATAGAAGCGCGCACGCCGGGCTCTGCAGGGGGGTCCGTGGGCGCGCACGCCGGGCTCTGCAGGGGGGTCCGTGGGCGCGCACGCCGGGCTCTGCAGGGAGGTCCGTGGGCGCGCACGCCGGGCTCTGCAGGGAGGTCCGTGGGCGCGCACACCGGGCTGGGCAATGAGGTTCGTGCAGCCCCAAAGCAGAGACAGCTCAGGTCCACCAGCTGATGAGTGGACACCTGGGAGGTGGCTGCCCTTCCGTGGGTGCGGTTCGGGCTAAAGGCATGTTCAGTGTGGTGCCTCGACAGCAGTGTGCCATGTGCAGGGCCAGCTGGTGGGAAGCCAGCAGAGCAGGCCGATGTGCAGGGACAGGAAGTCGGGGAGCGGCCGTGGCTGGGTGGTGGCAGGGCCTTTCTTCCCGGCGTGAGGAAATGTCTGGAATGAGACGCTGTGGTGGTTACACAACTTGCAGATGCACGGACACGGCCTGTGCACTCGGAATGTGTGAGGCTGTGCGTCACCCTGAGGCTGACCCTTTACCCAGCAGCACCAGAGCTGCAAGGGCCCATGACGGCGTGGTGTGCTCCACGCGGCCAGGGAGACCACAGCGGGCAGCCCCACCCCAAACCTCAGCCTCTCCCTGAGTCCCAGCCTCTCCCTGAGTCCCAGCCTCACCCTCACCCCCAGCCTCTCCCTCACCCCCAGCCTCTCCCTCACCGCCAGCCTCACCCTCACCCCCAGCCTCACTCCAACCCCAGGCTCTCCCTCACCCCCAGGCTCTCCCTCACCCCCAGCCTCACCCTCACCCCGAGCCTCTCCCTCACTCCCAGCCTCACCCTGACCCCCAGCCTCTCCCTCACCCCCAGCCTCACCCTGGACCGCATTAACAACTAGAGGCCCAGTGCATGAAATTTGTGCACTATAAGGACCCTAGGCCTGGCCAGCGATCAGGGCCAATAGGGGCCTTCCTTCCGGCTGCCGGCTAGGGCCTCCCTTCCCCAGCTGCCGGTTGCCAGCTGCTGGCTGCTGGCCAGGGCTTCCCTTCCCGCTGCTGGCTGCCGGCTGGGACCTCCTTTATTCTGCGCTGGCCCCTGGTGGTCAGTGCACATCATAGCGAGTGATCAGTCTCCCAGTCGAACTCCCGCGGGGACAATTTGCACATTAGGCTTTTATATATATAGATGAGTTTATAATCGGCCAAGTGTTTGGGTTCGTGCCTGGAGAGCTTCGTAAAGTAAATGTATCTCCGAGTCACGTTCCGAATAAAAGTGGGCCGCCTGGTGGGGAGACTCGGGGAGCTGGTAGGAGTTGTTGTTGAGAGGAGGCTGAGGGCGTCCAGGGGGTAGGAGGCCCTTTCACTGAGCAGTGTCTCTGGAACTGCTGCTCTGAGAGTCCTGGCGGCGCCCTGTTTATATTTAACTTGTTTTAGGGGCTGCCTCGTCTGTCTCCGTCCTGCTGGTCCCACTCTGTCCTTCTATCTGCGGCCGCCCACAGGGGCCTGGCTTCCTGTTTTCATTTGGTAAAACGTGAGCAGGGAGAGCAGTAACTGGAGCAGGGTTTGTGTTGACACCGTTTCTCTGGCTCTGGAATTCAGCTGAGCCTTCAGAGACCCCAGAGGCCTTGCCAGGCTTAGCTCCCAAGAGCCTCTCTGCAGGGAGGCGCCCAGTGTTTGCCAACAGCTTGGCCGCCCTCCCCTGGGGGGCGGGGGGGGGGGTCCTCCCCTGGAAACCAGGCGGCTCCGCCTCTCTCGGAGGAAGTGCCCTGGGGGAGCGCCTGGCAGCCCAGCCCAGCCCTTTCTAAGAAGGCAGCCTGGCCCAGGGCCCCCTCTCCTCCTCTGTTTGTCTCCTAATTTGGTGAGGCTGCCACCCGCTCGCCCCATTGGCTGCTGGGTCCCTGCAGTTTGGAGACCCGTTGTTCAGTTTGGGTTGGTTTTCTCTGCACCTTGTCCCAGCCCCTGCTGCTCCAAGATTTGGGGAGTGGCTGTACCTGTGGGGACGCTCTCCCTAGTAAACAGCCCGGCCCTGCCCCCTGGCCCTGCCCCCTGGCCCTGCCCCCTGGCCCTGCCCCCTGGCCCTGGCCCTGCCCTCGGGCCCTGCGTCTTCCGCCTGTTTCAAGTGTTTTGCTTCCCGGCTGCCAGGCCAGGGTGTGTGCTGTGTGGTCGGGTGGTTTTCTTCACCCTGAAGCACTCCACCCAGAAAATGAATGAACGCTCTCTCAAGTGAATGTTGCTGTCGAGGCAGCGTGGACTTTTTCCGTTTGAAAGCAGCGGTATTTATAGAAAAGGAGAAACGGGCATCGTTTGCTGGGTGTTGCAGAAGCACGCCGTCTGGGAAGTGCTCCTGGGAGCGAGCTTTGGAAACTGCCGCACTGACACCCAGAGGCGCACAGAGCGGCCCTCCGCGTCACTCAGCCGGGCTGGCACAAGCTGTTTCTTCTGAAAGCTCCTCCCGACTGTTTTATTGTAGACGTCAAAAACGGAAGTAACCTGTTTACTGAAACTTGGCAAAGGTTAGCAGAACATGAAGTAAAACAAAAAGCAACTGGCACCAAAGTCTAAAGCCCTCACAGCGCCCTCTGCGCACAGTCCCGCTCTCTGCCCATCTCCCCTGTGGCCCGGCCCCTCTGTGGCCCGTCTCTGTGGCCCGTCTCCCCTGTGGCCTGGCCCCGCTGTGGCCCATCTCCCCTTGGCCCAGCCCCTCTGTAGTCCGTCTCCCCTGTGGCCCATCTCCCCTGTGGCCCGTCTCCCCTGTGGCCCGTCTTCCTCTGTGACCCGTCTCCCCTGTGTCCCGGCTCCCTCTGTGGCCCGTCTCCCCTGTTGCCCGTCTTCCTCTGTGGCCCGTCTCCCCTGTCGCCCGTCTCCCCTGTGTCCCGGCTCCCCTGTGGCCCGTCTCCCCTGTGGCCCGTCTCCCCTGTGTCCCGGCTCCCCTGTGGCCCATCTCCCCTGTGGCCCGTCTTCCTCTGTGGCCCGTCTCCCCTGTGGCCCGTCTCCCCTGTGGCCCGTCTCCCCTGTGTCCCGGCTCCCCTGTGGCCCGGCTCCCCTGTGGCCCGTCTCCCCTGTGGCCCGTCTTCCTCTGTGGCCCGTCTCCCCTGTGGCCCATCTCCCCTGTGTCCCAGCTCCCCTGTGGCCCGTCTCCCCTGTGGCCCGTCTCCCCTGTGGCCCATCTCCCCTGTGTCCCGGCTCCCCTGTGGCCCGTCTCCCCTGTGGCCCATCTCCCCTGTGTCCCGGCTCCCCTGTGGCCCGTCTCCCCTGTGGCCCGTCTCCCCTGTGGCCCGTCTCCCCTGTGGCCCGGCTTCGCTGTGGCCCGTCTCCCCTGTGGCCCGTCTCCCCTGTGTCCCGGCTCCCCTGTGGCCCGTCTCCCCTGTGGCCCCGCTTCGCTGTGGCCCGTCTCCCCTGTGGCCCCGCTTCGCTGTGTCCCGGCTCCCCTGTGTCCCGGCTCCCCTGTGGCCCGTCTCCCCTGTGGCCCCGCTTCGCTGTGGCCCGTCTCCCCTGTGGCCCCGCTTCGCTGTGTCCCGGCTCCCCTGTGTCCCGGCTCCCCTGTGGCCCGTCTCCCCTGTGGCCCCGCTTCGCTGTGGCCCGGCTCCCCTGTGGCCCGGCTCCCCTGTGGCCCGTCTCCCCTGTGGCCCCGCTTCGCTGTGGCCCGGCTCCCCTGTGTCCCGGCTCCCCTGTGGCCCGTCTCCCCTGTGGCCCGTCTCCTCTGTGGCCCGTCTCCCCTGTGGCCCGTCTCCCCTGTGGCCCGTCTCCCCTGTGGCCCGTTTCCCCTGTGGCCCGTCTCCCCTGTGGCCCGTCTCCCCTGTGGCCCGTCTCCCCTGTGGCCCGGCTCCCCTGTGGCCCGTCTCCCCTGTGGCCCGTCTCCCCTGTGGCCCGGCTCCCCTGTGGCCCGTCTCCCCTGTGGCCCGTCTCCCCTGTGGCCCCGCTTCGCTGTGGCCCGTCTCCCCTGTGGCCCCGCTTCGCTGTGGCCCGTCTCCCCTGTGTCCCGTCTCCCCTGTGGCCCGTCTCCCCTGTGGCCCGGCTCCCCTGTGGCCCGTCTCCCCTGTGGCCCGTCTCCCCTGTGGCCCGGCTCCCCTGTGGCCCGTCTCCCCTGTGGCCCGTCTCCCCTGTGGCCCGTCTCCCCTGTGGCCCCGCTTCGCTGTGGCCCTCCTCATGCAAGTCCTCAGAAATGTCTGAGCACCTGACCTCGGCGACAGCGCGCAGCCCGGTTCTCATTAAAAACCTGCTCGTTAGGATCAGGAGCCACAGGACACTCATTTCGGTGACAAATGGAAACGGCGGCTGGTGTGAGGCCAGGCCTGTGCTGAGGCGGGCACAGCAACGCTCCTTACGGACCGGCACCCCGAGGGCAGGGGCAGCGGTGCCCGTGGACAGGGCAGTCCTCATGCCCTTCGCTCCTGTCTTAGTGTTTGTTTTTGTGATGTTCACCAAAGCCCCGGGTCGCGGGCGGCACTGCCCTCCAGCGCTCCCCTCGCGGCACATGCACCCCCAGTTCTCAGGTTTGCATGTGACAGACTGACTTCACCGTGAGGCTCGTTCCCTTTCTCCTCCCCCCTCTTCCCAGGAAAGCTCCCCCAGGGCTGTCCACTGAGTTGCATTTTCCTCTGTGTCGCCTCCAGGGCACGGAGCACTGCTGTGCTCTCAGTGCAGCCGTTGCAGTGGCTGCGTGCGCCCTCCTGGGTAGCCCCGGCACCAGGTCCGTATCAGCCTCGCCCCTGGCGGTGCTCTTCTCCCCACCCCCATCCCCCATCCCCCATCCCGCAGTGTGAGCCTCTCGTGCCATGCGGGGTTAGGTCTCTGTGCTCGAGGCCTGCCACACCCACCCTCTGCCCAGAAGGATGCCTGTCACTCGACCCTTCACTAAAAGGCTTTCCTCTGGCGTCCAGGCCCCACCCCCCCAAACACCCCCGTGCCGGGGCCCTGGGAGTCCCCTCCCCTGACCCGGAGTCTGCCTGTCCCTCTGCCCTTTGTTTATGGGGGAATGTCTTGGGCGGCGGGACCAGCGGTGAATGCTTCCATCCCTCCCTGCCGGTCACTGTCCTCCCTTCGCACAGGCAGGCGGTTACCTGCGGAGACCCTCGGTGGGGAGTGTCCCTCGTAATTCACATCGTTTTCTAGTTTCGAGTGTTGCTCTTACACTCTCCTGACTCCTGGTCCTTCCTCCACGATGTCCTGGCCGAGCTGGCTCGTGTGCCCAGCCGGTAGCGTGTCCGCCGCGCGGGCACGCAGGGCACCCCCCACACACGCCGCTGCCTGCTCGCCCAGTGCCTGAGCGCGGGCGCAGACATGGCAGGCATGTCTTGGACGGTCTCCGAGGCCGCGTGCCAGGCCTGGAGGAGGCGCCACTCATGGCCTGAAACGGAAAGTGACTGCCGGTCATTTTCCATAAAAGGCGCGGCGACTGCCACTCGCGTGCATCTCGCTTTGTGTCCACCTTTCACCGCAGCCGGGGGCGGGCACCTGAGTCATGTGCCCGGTGCTGCTCTCCGCCCGGGTCCAGGCCCCTGGGCGGTCGCGTTGCCCTAAGCGAGCGGCTCTTCGCTTCGGCTCCATCCAGGAGGCCAGCGCGGCTCCCAAGAGACACTCTGCTTCTCCTTCAGGCGTCCTCTCGGTCCTGCTCGTTTGCCGGGCAGTTTTGGCGGAGCAGCCTGAAGCTCTCGGGACGCTGGCCGTCCTGCAGCGGCCCCAGGCGCTCGGCATGGCGTGCAGCGGCCTCCGCCCTGACCTGGAGGCGCGGGGTCAGGGGGTCCCAGGCGGCCTCCGCCCTGACCTGGAGGCGCGGGGTCAGGGGGTCCCAGGCGGCCTCCACCCTCACCTGGAGGCGCGGGGTCAGGGGGTCCCAGGCGGCCTCCGCCCTCACCTGGAGGCGCGGGGTCAGGGGGTCCCAGGCGGCCTCCGCCCTGACCTGGAGGCGCAGGGTAGGGGTCCCAGGCGGCCTCCGCCCTGACCTGGAGGCGCGGGGTCAGGGGGTCCCAGGCGGCCTCCGCCCTGACCTGGAGGCGCGGGATCAGGGGGTCCCAGGCGGCCTCCGCCCTCACCTGGAGGCGCGGGGTCAGGGGGTCCCAGGCGGCCGCGGGCTGACCTGGAGGCGCGGGGTCAGGGGGTCCCAGGCGGCCTCCGCCCTGACCTGGAGGCGCAGGGTAGGGGTCCCAGGCGGCCTCCGCCCTGACCTGGAGGCGCGGGGTCAGGGGGTCCCAGGCGGCCTCTGCCCTGACCTGGAGGCGCGGGGTCAGGGGGTCCCAGGCGGCCGCGGGCTGAAGGGCTCATTGAGAAGCTCGTGGCTCGGAGGCTGGAAGCCGTGCGCACAGGCACGTCTGGGGCCAGGCCCGGCCCGAGGTTCGGCAGAGGCTGCGAGCGGCTGTGTGTCCCGGGCCGGCCCGCGCCCCTGCTTCTGCTGGAGGTCGGCCTGTGGGAGGCAGCCTCCCCCTGTGGTCGGCCTTCTGAGGGCGCGACAGCAGTTTTCTCTGATCTCCCACAAAATGGCGGGGGAAGGGCTGCGTGGCCAGGAGCCACCGCGTCCTCTCCCCACTGGGGGGTCGGGTCCAGGAGGGCGTGGACGGTGTGGAGCAGCCGCAGGGCCTCACAGGACCTCAGGAGAAGCCACGGGCTGCGTGTCCACCGCCCCGGCTTCACGCGTGGCGTGGCTCCCAGACGCACGGGACAGCCCCGCTGCGTGCGTGGCAGGGGCACTGGGACGACCCTCCCCGCCGCCGACCTCGCCAGCAGGTGTGTCGGGGCCGCGCCCGGGACGGTGCGGTGCTGCTTCCCGCCGGCGTCCCGTTTGGGGTTTGGGTGCCGTGACGTTGTGCACGCACAGCAGCGCTCGGCGTGTGCGGGGACCCGGGGGAGGAGCGGGGATTCCCAGGGAGGGTCCTTAGAGTCTCCGCTCCTCACGGGCCTTTCTGGAAGGCACTCCGACCCGCCCGGGGGCTGAGGGCTGCTGTCCCTCACCAGCTGCCCGCGGTCAGGGTTTCATTCTTTCCTTCACCTTCCTCCTCAGCAGCAACTTCTCACGACGCCCTCTCCCCCGCCCCCAGGTGTCGCAGGGCAGCGTGTGTAACCGGGGCCCCTCCCGGCCGGGACGGGGAGCTCTGGGGGAGGCCTGGCTCAGCTGCGGGTGTTGGGACATGCGGGGAGGGCGTCAGGCGGGACACAGGCTCCTCCGGTGCCGTGGAGGCGCCGTGCTGTCGTGGGTATTCTCCGAATGCCTGTGATGGAATGAAGGCGAGGGCCAGTGTTTCTGCGGGTTTGTTACTGAGAGGAAAGGGGCCGAAGCCTGTGGCTGGGCCGCCGCCCCGGCAGGCGGGACGCTGGGTGGCACAGGCACAGGCCTGGGACCCACAAGCCGGAGCCTGGGCTGCCCGCGGGGTTGGCCGTGGAGGAGCCAGAGATGCCGGGGCGGCCGTTTCAGCCGAGGAGAGGAAGCCAGGGGGCTGTGGCCGGCAGGGCTGGTCGCCCCCTGAACGTTCCTGCAGCAGCACCCGGCTCCGACCTTCGCTGAGGGTGCCACCGTGTGGACAGCGGCGGCCCTGCAGCCACGCCGCCTGCCCTTCAGGCTCGGCCTCCCGGCCAGCGTCTGTGCTGAGGACATAACTGGTCCCTCCTTCATCCGGTGGGTGCGGTGTCATCCAGTCACAGAGCAGGGAAGTGCGGGCGCTTTCTGTGTCCCCGGGCCCGCTTCCTGCACAGAGTCCTCCCAGGACCGTGACCAGAGCGCGTCCTCTCTCCACAGTGTTCCCAACTCCTGCCCGGCCAGTCCACGTGGGGCCGGCTCCTCCAGCTACCGATTCGTCCAGAACGTGACCTCGGACCTGCAGCTGGCCGCAGAGTTCGCCGCCAAGGCCGCCTCGGAGCAGCAGGCAGACGCGTCCGGAGGAGACAGCCCGAAGGTCTCGCCCGCAGCCCGCCCCTCCCGCCCACCTCCTGCGCGTGCTCCTTCTCACCGCATTCCCGCGTCCCGTCTGCTGAGGACCAGACAGTTTCAGAGTTTCACTTAGTGTCTGAGAGGAGGAGAGGTTTTGCCTTACATCTCTGTCTCGGTTCTTTCCCCCCCGAGGACTTCTAAAATCAGCGGTGAGGCGAGGAGTGAGGTGTCAGCAAGTGGTGACGAGACCCTCCTCCCTGCGGGAGGCCGAGGGCGCTTCCTGTTGGGAGGAGCACGTGGCGGGCGTGCAGGTGGCCGGGGCTGGTTGAAGGAGACACAGTGCCGACCCGTCCCGCTGGCGCTTCTGCGCTGGGAGGCCGTGGGTGGGATGGGCTGGGGGCCGCCTCGCTCACGCTGTCTGCTCTGCTCCCCAGGACGAGTCGAAGCCGCCCTACTCGTACGCGCAGCTGATCGTGCAGGCCATCTCCTCCGCGCAGGACCGGCAGCTGACACTAAGCGGCATCTACGCCCACATCACCAAGCATTACCCCTACTACCGGACGGCCGACAAGGGCTGGCAGGTGAGGCTCGCGCCCGGCACGGCACACGGCCCCCAGAGCGTCCAAAATGGGCTGCGTCCCGGGGCGTCCGGCCCCGCCCTCGGAGGGCCAGGAGCGTGAGAATGGCTACACCCGCTCGTTACGTTGCTAGGCGCTGTGCTCACAGCCACGTGTCCATCGCGAGCGCGTTCCTTTGCGTGGGATCGTAAGACCGTGTCTGCATTGGGCGTAACCAGCGTGCCCCACTCATCATGTGTCTCCCAGTTTCTTTCCTTTGCCAGTGGACTCGGTGCAGGGTTTTGTTTGTTATTCTTGTTGATCCTCACCCGGGGACATTTTTTCATTGATCTTTAGAGAATGGAAGGGGGCAAGAGACAGAGAAACATCGATGTGAGAGACACATCAATTGGTTGCCTCCTGCATGTACCCCGACCAGGGCCAGGAATTGAGCCTGCAGCTGAGGTGTGTGCCCTTGACCGGAATTGAACCCGGGACCCTTTAGTCCAAGGGCCGACGCTCTACCCACTGAACCACCCAGCCAGGCTTGGTGCCGGCTTCAACCTGGACACCCCCTCCACCAGGGATTGTGTTTCCTGTCTCGCATTTGTTCTAAAGAATGGGAGCGATGCTGACCTGGACTTTGACAGGAAAAACTACCTGTGCCTTTGCACTGCCCCATAAGTGACCTGGCCAGCCCGCGGGAACCGTCGCTGGTGTGACCCCTGAACCCCGGCCCTGTCACCTTCGTCCCGCATCCCTGCGTCCTGGTGGGGGCGCTGGGCGTGGCTTTCTGATGCGCTAGCGAGCGGTGCCATCTCTGTTGCCTGCAGAACTCTATTCGCCACAACCTCTCCTTGAACCGCTACTTCATCAAAGTGCCCCGCTCCCAGGAGGAGCCCGGGAAGGGGTCCTTCTGGCGCATCGACCCGGCCTCCGAAGCCAAGCTGGTGGAGCAGGCCTTCCGGAAGCGCAGGCAGAGGGGCGTCTCCTGCTTCCGCACGCCCTTCGGACCACTGTCCTCCAGGTGAGCCGGCCGCCGCGGCCACTCCACACCGGCCCCTGGGCACCACCGCCCTTCCCCTCGTCCCGAGGGAGGGACTGGCCAGGTCCGTGGGCCCCAGCCCTGCAGTCGGCACCCGTGGCTGCCCCTGCACGTGGCTCTGAGAGGCGGCGCCAGTGGGAAGGCGTCTGGTGGGGGCTGGCGGCGCGTGGCGCTCTGTCTGCGCTTCCCCTTCCTGTGAGGACAGCGTCCCGGGACCGGCCCGCCCTGCTGACCTTTAGCTCAAGCCCCTCCCTAAAGCCTGTGAACCCACCTGCAAAGCAGGCACCCCGAGACCCTGGAGGTGAGGGCTCCCGAGCTGTGGGGGCTGCTCGGCCATGGGCGGCTCGGGGACGTTCCAGCGCCTTCGGTGCCAGCGCTGCCCGGGAACCCTGTGTGCGGGAGTCTGTGAGGGTGGCTGTCCTCGGGGCCACATTGGAAGCTGGGCCCCCGATCTTGTGCTGCACGTAGAATTTGCACAGGGAACTGGGGGGAGGGAATCCCCAGACCAGGAGGACAGGGAAGCAGAGCTTTGCTGTGGGCTGGGTCTCGGCCTGTGCTGGGGGCAGAGGTGGGTGGAAACGGGTTTGGTTTTGTAGAGTAAAGCCAGGTCCTCGAGGCCCAGACAGGAAGTTGCACGTTCGAGCGCCTTCACCAACGGGGTGACCGCGTGGGCCTCCCGGCGAGGACTGGCCAGCAGGGTCGGGAGGCAGGAGGCCGGCCAGAGGGGGGGTCTCTGCCGCGGGGACAGCACCCGTCGGGGAGGGAGAGGGGGCGTCTGCCGTGAGTCACAGACGCAGAATGCAGACTGCTCCCCCGCTGATCTGGCCCAGCGTCCTGCCCTCGTGGGACGGTTTGCCCAGCGTGTTCAGGGGCACAGGGGGCGTGTCACTGACAGTCCCCCAGGGGAGAGGCCGATGCTCGCAGCCGGCGGACGGCTGGAGGAGGGGCTGTTCCAGGCCCGGGTGGGTCACTCGGGGGCACGGGGCACTCGGGGGGCACGGGGCACTCGGGGGGCACGGGGCACTCGGGGTCACGGGGCACTCGGGGGGCACGGGGCACTCGGGGTCACGGGGCACTCGGGGGGCACGGGGCACTCGGGGGGCACGGGGAACTCGGGGTCACAGGGCACTCGGGGTCACGGGTCACTCGGGGGGCACGGGGCACTCGGGGGCACGGGGCACTCGGGGTCACGGGGCACTCGGGGGCACGGGTCACTCGGGGGCACGGGGCACTCGGGGTCACGGGGCACTCGGGGTCACGGGTCACTCGGGGGCACGGGGCACTCGGGGTCACGGGGCACTCGGGGGGCACGGGGCACTCGGGGTCACGGGTCACTCGGGGGGCACGGGGCACTCGGGGTCACGGGTCACTCGGGGGGCACGGGGCACTCGGGGTCACGGGTCACTCGGGGGGCACGGGGCACTCGGGGTCACGGGTCACTCGGGGGGCACGGGGCACTCGGGGTCACGGGTCACTCGGGGGGCACGGGGCACTCGGGGTCACGGGTCACTCGGGGGCACGGGGCACTCGGGGTCACGGGGCACTCGGGGGGCACGGGTCACTCGGGGGCACGGGGCACTCGGGGGGCACGGGGCACTCGGGGTCACGGGGCACTCGGGGTCACGGGTCACTCGGGGGGCACGGGGCACTCGGGGGGCACGGGGCACTCGGGAGCGTGGGCTCTGCCCCGCGCAGGCTCTCCTGGCAGGAAGTCGGTGCCCGGCCCACAGAGCTTGTGTGGGGAACAGGACAAAGCCCTTTCCCAGGGGACACTGGTCCCTTGGGGAGCAGGTGCTCGGGACGTGGCTTCGTCTGTGGCCACAAGCAGCACCGCGTCCACCCAGGGCTGGGCTGTGACGATGGCCGGGCAGCTCGTCGTCGCTGCAGGCATGGGGACCCCTTGTGGGGACAGGGCAGGGGAGGCCAGGCCGCAGGTGGTCCGCGTCCTCGGGCGCCTCCACTTTGTTGAGTAGCCTGCTTCCCGCACACTCACCGCGTGGTCCCTCTCGTGGTCCCTCCCCGTTCTCAGGAGCGCTCCGGCTTCACCCACCCACCCCGGGCTGATGTCCCCTCGCTCCAGCGGCCTGCAGACTCCAGAGTGCCTGTCTCGGGAGGGCTCCCCCATTCCACACGACTCTGACTTTGGGTCGAAGCTCGCCTCTGTTCCAGAGTACCGCTACTCCCAGAGCGCGCCCGGTAAGAGGGGGCCCCTGCGGCAGGCAGACCCAGACCTGGGCCGGGGCTGTGGGGGCCCGCTGACCCCGCGCTCCTTCTCTGCAGGCTCTCCCGTCAGCGCCCAGCCCGTGATCATGGCTGTGCCCCCCCGACCTCCTAGTTTAGTGGCCAAGCCCGTGGCCTACATGCCTGCGTCCATCGTGACGGCACAGCAGCCCCCAGGTCACGCCATCCACGTGGTGCAGCAAGCGCCCCCCGTCACCATGCTCAGGGTGGTCACGTCCTCCGCCAGCTCCGCCAACGGGTACATCCTCACCACCAACCAGGCCTCGGCAGGGGCCGCCCATGAAGCCACAGGCACCGCGGTGCTGGACCTGGGCAGTGAGGCAAGAGGTGAGAGCCATGTGGTCCCTCTGGGGCTCCGGGAGGTAGAGCTGCCAGCCCGGGCCTCGGGGTACAGAGCCCAGGGGTCGGGGCACAGGCAGTCTCTGGGGCCGACGGCTCTCAGCCTGCTGCCCGCACTTCCCGCTCCTTATGTTTTGGGGAGTCTGTCCCGTGCAATCAGCAGGGTCGCCCCCCAGAGCACGCCCTCCCCGTGAGCAGCCAGGTGCGCGCAGCCCCAGGCGCACTGTGAGGCTGGGGCCTGGGATCCGGGGACGAGGCCTCTCGAGCCACCGGCGAGGAGCCCTTAGAGTCATTTAAAGTAAAAGCAGTTACAGGGCCCTGAGCTGGAACCGGGCCCGGTAACGAACGGGTAAATCCCAGCGTGGGGGCCACGGGGAGCCTCGCCGCAGCGCGTCTGCGTGCAGGTCAGTCATTCCCAGGAGCAGTCCTGTCCCTCGCTCACCCTGGCTGTACGGTGTGACGGTTACACGTGTGTGTGTCACAGTCCTGTCCCTCGCTCACCCTGGCTGTACGGTGTGACCGTTAAACGTGTGTGTCACAGCCCTGTCCCTCGCTCACCCTGGCGGTATGGTGTGACCGTTACACGTGTGTGTCACAGTCCTGTCCCTCGCTCACCCTATCTGTACGGTGTGACGGTTACACGTGTGTGTGTCACAGTCCTGTCCCTCGCTCACCCTGGCTGTACGGTGTGACCGTTGCACGTGTGTGTCACAGCCCTGTCCCTCGCTCGCCCTGGCTGTACGGCGTGACCGTTACACGTGTGTGTCACAGTCCTGTCCCTCGCTCGCCCTGGCGGTACGGTGTGACCGTTACACGTGTGTGTCACAGCCCTGTCCCTCGCTCGCCCTGGCGGTATGGTGTGACCGTTACACGTGTGTGTCACAGCCCTGTCCCTCGCTCGCCCTGGCTGTACGGTGTGACCGTTACACGTGTGTGTCACAGCCCTGTCCCTCGCTCGCCCTGGCTGTACGGCGTGACCGTTACACGTGTGTGTCACAGCCTTGTCCCTCGCTCGCCCTGGCTGTACGGCGTGACCGTTACACGTGTGTGTCACAGTCCTGTCCCTCGCTCGCCCTGGCGGTACGGTGTGACCGTTGCACGTGTGTGTCACAGCCCTGTCCCTCGCTCGCCCTGGCCGTACGGTGTGACGGTTACACGTGTGTGTAAAATGCTGTGAGTCGCTTTCCTGCTGTTTTAAAACTGACCTCCTCGGTGCGATCTTCCTTTTGAGAAGCGATGGCTTTTCCCAGTGTCAGGGCCTGGAACCCGCAGCTCATGGCCGCTGGCGTGGCGGTCCCTGACACGCGCTCTTCCCTAGGCCTGGAGGAGAAGCCCACCATCGCCTTCGCCACCATCCCCGCCACCAGCCGAGTCATCCAGACGGTGGCTGGCCAGATGGCCTCTGGCGTCCCCGGGCACACGGTCACCATCCTGCAGCCGGCCACGCCCGTGAGCATCGGGCAGCACCCTCTTCCGGTCCGGGCCGTCACGCAAAACGGAAGGCACGCAGTCCCCACCAGTAGTGTAGCCGGCAGCGCTTACGGTGAGGCCCTGCCGCCCTCCGTGCCGCATTGTAGCCCGGGGTTCAGGCACAGTCAGTGCCCAGGGGCCCTCTCCCAGGCCATCCCGGCAGCCGGTCAGCATCCACCAGCTGAGCAGCTGCTAAGCACCGGGCACTGTAACACTAAGCAAAGTCCCCGTCACAGAGCTCACACCAGCTGGCTGAGAGGGCAGGGGCATCGGACGGCCACACGTCGTGGGGACCGGGGCTGAGGGCTTCGGTTCTCAGCCAGGTGCTCAGGAAGGCAGAGGAAGGGGAGTGGGCAGGTGCTGGAGCAGACAGGGACCGTGCACCCCTCAGGTGGGGAGGGGACCGGGGTTAAGGTGGGGTGGCTCACGGGAAGGAAAGTCCAGCTGAGGTGGGAGCAGGTGGGCGGCTGGCCCGGGGCTGCTGGGAGCGCTGGTCCCATCAGCAACCTCTCTCCCTCCCCGCAGCCCTCACGAGCCCTCTACAGCTCCTGGCGGCCCAGGCCAGCTCATCCACTCCCGTGGTGGTTGCCCGGGTGTGCGAGGTGGGGCCCGAGGAGCCGGCAGCCGCCACCACCACCACCACCACCACGCCAGCCAGCACCGTCACCTCTGCCGCCGCCACCGGGGAGCCCGAGGTGAAGAGGTCCCGGCTGGAGGAGCCCAGTGGGACTGTGAGCGCGCAGGCCGGAGTCATCACCGCTGCCGGCCCGCAGGGGCCTGGGACCGGGGAGTGACGTCCCCCGGGAGGTGGAGTGGGACGCACGCCAAAGGGAACCGTGGGCTGGACCACGACGCCCACACCGCCGCCTGGGACCGAGCACGCGCCACACGGACAGGCCGCCCGCCCGCTCCTGACGCTCGTCCTCCTGCCGGCACCTCCTGCCCCGGCCGCGGCCGAGACTAAACATAAACGCATTCAGACAGCTGATTGTATGGCCCTGGGATTCTTTGTTTTCCGCTCCCCGGGCACGGCTTGTCCCCAGACCTGGCGGGGGCACGGGGAGGCTACGCATCCCGAGGACCAGGCCCCAGGCCCCGGCCGTGAGCAGAGCCGCCAGGCAGGCCTCCGAGGGACGGACGCGCACTCCGCTCCTGCACATGCATCGGAACCGGCGAGACAGGCGGCGGTCCGATTTCCAGCTGTCCGTGACGTCTTCCCCCTAAAATCGTGGCCCAGGAGCATCCGTTGGCATTAACTGGGGGGAGCGGGGGCTGTGGACCGAGGAGTTCTTGTCCGGGTGCCGCGTGGAATCTGGGCTTCACCACACGTCTGAGCCCAGAGGGATCGTCTAGTTCTGAGGTTTCCGCCTGCAGCCGCCGTGGCCGGTTCTTGCTGCCGCGTCCCCTGGGAGTGAACCCCCGCCCTCTGCCCCCTTCAAGGAGGGCATCCGAGGTGAGCGCCGAGTGGACGACACCAGAGCCGGCCCTGCATCCTGACGGCCTGCCCTGGGGCAGCACTGGGCGCGTGCTCAGGAGGCTGGCCCTACGCGGGGACAGCTGGAGGCAGCAGCCCAGAGCTCCGGCCGCCCCCCCAAACCGCCACCAGGAAAGCGGCTCAGGCTGCAGGCTGTGCCCGGGGCGGGAGCGGGAGCCACCTCAGAAGGAAGGGGACCCAACCACAACAGCCAGCTCGTTGGAGTGGCTCGCGCCATCACTGCCGCGGTGTCCCCACCCCAGGTGCCAAGGACGGTGCAGGGCCTGTGCCCTCCCGCATGGACGGGAGGACGCCTGTCGTTCTGTGGCACGAACCTCACGTGGGAAATGCCCTTGGGAAGTCCACCTGCCGCCTCCGGGACGCCAGAGAAGCGGGCGATGGAGTGAGCTGGCGCCGCCCTTGGTCCCCCAGCCCACAGCGCCGGTTCCTGTCCGTCAGTTCCCTCCCGTGCCTGCTGTGCACGTGGTGGCGGGCGTGAAGGATGGGCTGGCGGAGGCCTGGCCGCGGGTCTGAGCAGGGTCCCTGCGGCTGCTTCCCTCCCTTGCGGACGTGTCACCCAGATGCGCCTGCTCCTGACGGCGGGACCCACAGGCTGCCTCTGGGCACGGCACCACGGAGCAGGGCCGCTGGCCATGGACACTGTCGGGTCTTCGCCTGATCCCCTGGGTCTGGCTCCGACCCTTTTTTATGGCTTTTGAGATGTTTTGGTTTCTCTGTCCATTTTCAGTGAGGACCCCGCTCGGCAGCCAGAGGGCAGGGAGAATGGAGGGAGGGGGGCGAGGGGACGAGGGGAGGGACAAGGTCCCGACGGTGCCATGTGCCCCTGCTGGAGCGAGGAGGGGCCGGGCGGCCAGCGCTGCACAGGGAGCACAGGCCGCGGCCCCGAGGGGCTGTGTCTCGGGCACAGACCTGTGTCCTGTCATCTGACCACAGAGCGCGCCTGGCTCGGGCGGCAGGCCCGTCACGGCCTCTCCCCGGAAGTGTACGCCGCAGCGGAAGGTTGCCCGGTGCCCTCAGAGCTGGCCCAGAGAGGGCGCCCTGAGTCTGGTGGCCTGTGACCTGTGGTCCGTGGAGGGCGGGCCGACGCCAGCTGAGGTTGGGAAAGTGAGAAGTCTGCTGGCGCGATCCCCGTGTCCCTACAGCCTCAGTCCGAGACCCTTCGCTGTGGTCACCTGGGGGCTCGCGTCTGCAGCAGAGGCAAGCGGCCAGGGCACTGGCTTTGGGCACGCGGGCCCCTGCTGCTGTGCTGCACGTTCCAGCTCCAACCAGAGAGCCCTGCACGGGGAGGAGGCACAGGAGTAGCTGCACACGCGGTGCGCACCCCCCGAGGCGTTCAGGGTGGTGTTGGGAGTGACGGTGTCCCAAGAGGGCGCCTGCCGGGCTGCGCCGTCTCCGTGCCCACGGCACGCGGGCGCAGGAGGCCGGCCCGTCCCCACTGAGCTCTCCCGGGAATGCCTGCCATGGAGGGCACAGTCTGCAGGGCCTGGGCGCTCGGCCAGGCCCCCCTCGCCCACCCCCCCTCACGCCCCGTACAAGTGTCCCTGCCGGGGCTTCTCGGCACGCGTGGGCCTGCCGGTTCTGGGTGTTTTCTTTTCCTGTGTAAGAACCGAGCCCAATGGAAGCGGTGAGAGTGGGTCCCCGAGTCGCCAAGAGGAGGGCCCAGCGACTCTGAGGCGGGAGACGGGTTTGCTGGTCATTCCATGCCCTACCCCCACCCCTGGCCCCGGGGAGGCTGTGAGGTCCTGAGGTCCTGGCATCGCTCAGGATGCTGCTGCTGCTTCTGAGAAGGTCTCCACCTGCAGAGGGCGCTGCCTCTGTGGACAGATGCCCCTTGCTGGTCACGCAGGCGGAGAGGAGGGGAAGGCTCCTGGGTTGGGGGTAGCCTCACTTGACGGACGGAGCGCAGGCCTCACGCAGGACAGGACACTGTTGGGTGGGAGGACATGGCGGCGGAGGAGGGGCCCCCGGAGCTGTCAGTGCAGGAGGCAGCCAGCTGCCCCGTCTCCCCAAGCCTCAGCTCTGCTTTGCCCTTGAGGGAGTCACCGCCTCGGGGTTCACATCCTCATCCGGCCTCTACACCCCAACCCCTCTGAGAACACAGCTGCCCCGAGACGGGCTTCAGGGTGCGGTGCACGCCCGATGCCAGACCACAGCGCACTACTCGTTCAGGACAAGTTCCCACAACGATGGAGGCTCTGCCGGAGGGCCGGTGCCACCGCAGCCCGTCCCTCGTGGCTGCGCAGGGCGGGGCCGGGCCCACGCGAGTCCTGGCAGCCCCTTCCCGATACCTCTGCCCGGAAGTAACGCTCCCACTAAGGACAATACTCACGCAAACGTGCTGCTACGGGGCGGCCTGCAGACCGGCCCGGCGGGGGCTTGGGCGGGAGGACACAGCCGCCAGGCCTCTCGCTGCGTCTCTGTCCTTCTCTCCAGGTCGGTTCCTGTGTTTTGCAAATTCCTGTCATGACGGTTTCGTTCTCCAGGCCTGGCTTCCACGTTGGGCCTCGGTTCTCGGCGCAGCTCGCCCATGCTCAGCCCCGGGTTTGGGCGAGACTTCGCCGCCTGCCTGTCCTCTCACCAAAGCTGCTACCTGGGGCCCGAGGGAGGGTCTGCGGCGGCCCCTGCGGGTGGCAGCAGTGCATCCCCTCGGCCGTGTCTGTCCAGGCTGCCGGCTGTGCGGGCGCTGGGGCGTCAGGCCGGGCACCACCGCCCCCTCCAGCACCGCTGCTCCCCGTCCCCATCACCCAACTCGTCACAGCTGCTTCAAAGAATCTGGGGTCACCCCGAGCACTTCCTCGGAACTGAAATGAGAAATGGGCCCATGTGGCCGACGAGGGAAAATGTTTCTACTCTGAAGTTAAAAAGGAAAGAGCTCACCTGCTGAGCTGTCCACCCGCCGGCTCTCGGCCTGTGGGGCGCATCCTGGCTGAGGGTCCTTTCTGGCCTGGCCTCAGCCCCCCTCTCCGGCGGGGCCGCAGCTTGGCCCGCTGCTGGGGGCCCCCCGCCCACAGCCTGAGGGCCATGTCAGCCAGGAGTCCGTGTGGGGGCCAGGAGCCAGCTGAGTGGGTCCCCGGGGTGGCGAGGAGGTCCTGGGGTCTGAGGTCAGCCGACGGGAGGTTAGCAGGGCCCACTGCTCTGGGTGACACGCCTCACCTGTGAGTGCGGTGGCCACTGCGGGGGGGTGCCCGCCTCTGCCCGCAGGGCCTGGCCTGGAGCCTCGCCCACGCTCTGCCCACCTCTGGGCAGTGGCAGTCTGCATGCCACGCAGGACGGAAGTGAAATCTCTTCGCGAGCCTGGGGCGCCCAGTGGCTACTCGTTATTTTAGAAGAGGGCTGAGGGAGTATGTGCTTTGTGCCAGGCACCTTGCTCCCCGGGGACACCCGCTCCAGGGACCGGAGGCTCCCTGCCCTGCTGCTCAGCTGTAGCAGCCGAAACAGGAAGAGACGTCTGGCCAGTGGGAGCCGCAAGCGCGGTTCTCCACTCGGTTCCTGCCCCCGTGCCTCCAGGGCAGTGGGAAGCCACTGTCCCCTCCGCCCCGGCCACGGGCGGGCGCAGCAGAGAGGAGGATGCCAGGCCTCTGGCTCATCCTGTCTCTCGGGCCTCCTCTGCAGTTTGCTGGTTTGATGCATCCAGACAGTTATGGCAGCTCACTCTGCGGCAGAGACAAGAAGGGAAGTCAGAGGCGGGGCCGAGGGACCCCGCAGGGGAGACATGGGGCGTCCTGGCTGCGTGTGGGTCCACGGATTAGGGCACTTTGACCTAAGTTTTCTCACTGAGCTGGGTCCCCAGGAGTGCGCCCTGCCCTGCCCGGCGAGCTGGAACGGGTCTGACTCTGATGGAAGTGGCTTTTCCCTCGTGGCCTGAAGGGTGTCAAACAGCCCGCGGCCTCCTAAGCTCTGAGCCTCTACTGGTCGGGTTACCTGGTCCAGATTTTTTTTAATCAGTAAAAATGAGTTTTAAAATCTAACATGTTAAGCTTGGCCCTCCCTTCTCCTGGTCCCCCTGAATTGACTGGGCTCACGTTCTAACAGGACGGGGTGGGGGGATGGGGACAGGGTCCCACTCAGATCCGCCGAGTTCTGACCCAGCAGCTGGGCACGTGCGGGAGCGTCGAACCCAATACTGAGATTTTTTTATCTGACCGATGATTCTGTAAAGGTAATTGGGGGGCGGGGCGGGCGCTGTTAGGGCTGGGTGTGTGTGTGAGCGTGTTTTTACGGTGGCTGTCTAAAGTATTTTTACAACATGTTTAATAATCAGTGCTTTAAAAGCAGTGGTTTCCTACAAAGTGGAAACTAAGGTCTAAGCCTGGGAGTGAGTTCTGGCCTGGGGGCCTGGGCGGCGGGAGCCGGGCGCCTGGGGGGATCCTGCGGCCAGGCTTTTCCATGGGATACAGTACTTTTTTAAAAGGAGCCATACTTTTTTTTAAAGTTTGAGAAATGAATGTGATTTCTAATTGTCTCAGACATTAATGTTTTAAAGCTATAACAAAGTTTAAAATTTCTACATTTCGTTTTTCATTTATTGTAACTGTTCTTTTATCTATTAAATTGTATGTGGATGGGCAAGTCCTGTGTCTCCTCTTAGCATTTGTTTCTATAACCAGAAATAAAGTTATATATTAAAGAAACGACGCTGGGCCCCGGTGTGGTCCTTGCGTGAGCGGCCACTGAGGGCCAGAGCTGGGTGGGCAGGCGGCCCTTACGGGAGACCGGCTGCCTCCTTTGCCCTCCGCGGCTGCTCCTGGGAAGAAGGAAACTGACAGGGACACGGTCTGGGCGGTGCCCCGGCCCCGTGAGTCCCTGAGGGGCCATCTCTGCAGCTTCAGGGACGTGGATGAACCGGCAGCCTCCCCGCTCCCAGACCCACAGGTGCCCACAGCGGCTCCGTGGGCCCTGCGCCCGCCCGAGGCCCGAGCGGCGACCTCCCGCCCCTGGCCTGCTTGCTCTGTGGTCACACCGGCTGGGGTGCCGTCCAGCGGGGGCCTGGAGCCTGCAGAAGCTGCCCGTCCTCCCTGCAGATGGACACCCTGCCTCAGAACGAGCTGCGCCAGCCGCCACGTCCACCATTACCCTGGGCAGGAGGGTTTCTCCTGCAGGCGGCCGCTGCGGGGTTCAAGGAAAGTGTCACAAAAGCAGCTCACCGTTCTCAGCACAGACCCGCCTCCGCTCAGGCTGTCACCTCCCCACTCAGCCCCTCCGCCAGCTTCCCATCCTTCCAATGACGCTGGGTGAACCCGCCTCGGGGTGTCCCTGGGCTGGGTGAGCCCGCACCCCCTTCCTCACCACCTCGGGCCCCGCCTCCTCGTCTGCACTTGGGCTCCCGGAGGGCGTCTCAGAACCGGAGTCCAGAATCCGCAGTGAGAGCCTCGCCCCCCCTCCCACCCCCGGGACCGCGCTCACTGCCGGCTGCGCTGCGGATCTAGCATTGACCCGGGGCCGGGCCGCCAGGACGGCTGCAGACCTGACCCTCGTCTCCGTGGCTGTAGTTCCCTGAGGACAGGAGAGGCCTCCCCTTCACGCTTCCTCACCCAAACCCAGGAGACCGGCCACCGCCTATTCCGTGAACGGTGAACGAGACGCCACGCACGTGGGTCCTCTCGGCCCGACTCCCCCGCGCCTCCTCCCACCCGCAGCCTTGTCCCCAGTCCTGCGCCCGTCGCGTCCTCCTGCGTTTACCCACGAAGCCTCCAGGGCCTTCGCCGCCCCCCGCCCCCCGGGCTTCCGCCGGTAGGACCGGCCGGTCGCGGCTGTCACGGCCCGTGTCGCCCCGGACCGCCCCAGTCGCCGCCCCGTGTCCGCCCGCGCCTGCAGGTGGCAGCGCTGTGGCCAGCACGGCTCCTGCAACTACGGGACCGCTTCCCGAGCCGTCGGCGTCTGCAACGGGGCTTCCGCGCGCAGCGAGCGGTGCCGGAGGCGGCGCGGGAGGCGTAGCGGGGTTAGGGGACCCGCTGAGCGCCCCGCGGCCTCGCCAACTGCGGGGCGCGCCTCCGCCCGCAACGCACACGCCGCAGCGATTGTCATGTTTCCAGGTCCTGCCGGGCATTCTGCCCGCAACGCCCGCAACACGGCACTGTGTTCCCGAAGCGACCCAGCATCGGGAGCCGCCCGGGGCGGGGTGCGAGGTGCGGGGCGCGGGTTCCGGGGGCGCCGGGGTGCCGGGGTCCCGGAGTGCCGAGGTCCCGAGCGCCCGGTGCCAGGGTGCCGGGGACTCCGAATCGACGGCGCCCACGAGCCAACCAGGACCCGCGACCAGGCGCACAGGCCCCGCCCCGCGGAGCTCCGCCAAAGCCCATTGGCCAGCGGCCGGCCCGCCTCTTTCACGTGACGTGTCACGTGACGCCACCCGGAAGCCGGCGGGACTGCGGCCGGGGCCGGCGGAGAGGCGAGCGCCTGGGGCGCCCGGGCGGCGCGATGTCCACGGCGGGGACGGAGAGCCTGCTCCGCCAGGCCAGGTGCCCGCCTCTCCCTCGGGGACGGGAGGTCGGGCCCGGGCGGGGCGGCGGGGCGCGGAGGAGGTGCCCTGAGCCGGGCGGGAGGATGAGGGGAAACGCCGCGGGGCTGTCCCCGCCGGTGGCTCGGCCGGAGGCTCGGCGAGGGGACCCCGGGCGGCGGAGAGGACGCCGGGGGGCGGCGGAGGGGACCCCCGGGGGGCGGAGGGGACCCCGGGCGGCGGAGCCAGGACCCGCCTTCGGATGTTCACCAAACCTTGTAGCCTGCGGCTGGGACACCCTGTCTCTCTCGGCTCCAGGTTCCTGGGCTCCAATCTGGTTGGTCCAAGTGGACGGAGAGCCCGGCGCGGAGGAGGTGCCCTGAGCCGGGCGGGCACAGGGGCGGTGACGCTCCTCCTCGCTCTGTGGACGGAGAGGGAGCTCCCAGGTGCCTTGCCTGTTGGCAATGCTCACGCGTGTTTCCTTTTTGGTTAATAAGCAAGTTAAATATCAGAGCGAGGAATGAACAGGCTGCCTTACAACGCATCGCAGCACGTGGCCTTTATCATATTACACTTCACTCTTGGTCCCCGCAGTTCAAGTCTCATTGAAGGAACCTTTCGAAAAGCAACTTATTTCAGATTAAATCTCTCTTACGTTTGACGCCTAAACTCAGTCCGTCTTCGTTCCTCTGCTCCTGGGAGAACAGCACGGGAATGTGGGCTGTTGTCATGGGAACCAGGGGTGCAGGTGCCCGGGACAGCCCCATCCAGCGGGGGCGGGAGTGGCCCTTGGACCGCTGAGTCCGGGGAGAGAGGAACCGGGTGGGGATCCAGCCAGCGGTTTGTCAGGAGCGGCCTGTGGATGGTGGACCCCCTTTCCCCGTGACCCCGGGCCTGCGCCCCGGGCCGTGTGTCACCCAGGGCTGCAGCTCTGGGCCCTGGGCGAGGCCCGGGCAGGGGCTGACGCGCCCCCTTGGCGCAGGGAGGTCCGGGAGGAGGAGCTGCGGCAGTTCTGCTCGCGGATCAGCGCGCTGCTGCGGAAGGAGGAGCCGGGGCCCGAGGCCCTGGACGCCCTGCGCAGGCTCTTCCTCATCGTCTCGGCCACCAAGTACGACAGGAAGTGAGTGGTCACCTGGGGCATGCCCGCCGGGGGGCGCAAACCTTGGCACTTGAGTCTGTGCCCTTACACCAGTGCTTAAGGGCCTCACATATAAAGTCCTCTCCACCGGGCCCCTTGGGGCAGGGGGAAGGGGGGGCCCGGGAGCTGTGCTCTGGCCGCGGTGTGACCCACTGCCTGCTGTGTCTGGCCGCCGCAGGCTGGAGAAGGCGTTCGTGGACCTGCTGCAGACCGTCCTGTGCCCGCCCGCGCGCCCCGAGCCGCTGCAGCTGCTCTGCGCCGCCATCCTGAGGGAGATGTCGCCCTGCCTCGGCCTGAGCCTGTCCTGCGACCACGTCCAGAGCCCGTGGCAGCTGAGCCTGGTGGCCTCTGTGCTCCTGGCCCAGGTACGTGGCTCACCGCCCAGGCCGACCGCCGGCTCTTGGTGGCCCTGGGTCCGGGGAGAAGCAGCAGGCCGGTGAGCGGTCCCCATGCGGGTGGGCTCAGCTGGGGTTCCCCTCCATTCACTGGTCCTTATGGGGGCCTTGGGGGCCAGCGCATGGATGCTCGACTGGCAGAAACGCCTGCCCCTGCCTCCCCCAGCTCCCCGTCCCCGTGACCCCTCCCGGGTTCCTAGACGCGGAGTGCCCGGGACACGGTGGAGGTAACTCAGGCCCTGGGCTGCCATGGCAACATGAATAGTCCGTAAGAGGCGGCCCAGAGCGCTGATGCTGACAGAGTGGACGGTCCCGTTCCCAGATGTTGCTGGGTGCTCACGCCCACCCGGTTTGATTGGCAGGGCGACAGAAAGCAGGTCAGAAACGTGGGCCAGCGCGTCTTCAAAGTCCTCGAGAGCCGGCAGCCCGAGGGGCCGAGTCTGAGGCCCCTGCTCCCAGCCGTGTCCAAGGCCGCCAGCCTGGCCCCCGGCACCCTCCGTGAAGGTACCCCTTCCTGCAGAAGCAGCTTCTGGCCCGTCCCAGGATAGAGATGAGCCCAGACGGGGAGGGGCGGGCGGGCGCTGTGTCCCAGTGGCCATCGGGGCGGCTCGCCTTCCAGCAACACTCGCAGTGCCCGTGCAGCCCGAGGGTGGGGTTCACCTGCTCCCCTCGGCCCTGTCCCCGCCCCTGCAGACCAGGCCAACCTGCTCAACAAGAGGCTGGTGGACTGGCTGCGCTACGCCAGCGTCCCACAGGGGCTCCCCCACTCCTCTGGGGGCTTCTTCACGCCCCGGGCCCGGCAGGTGAGTGGAGGATCTCAGCCTCCGGCCCCCGGGGTCCCAGGGCACCTCGCCAGCCTTGCCCTCAGGTCCGCTGCCTTCCTCTCCTCCACCTGCTGTGGCTCCACGTGGTGGGGGTGGGGAGAGCGGTGGGTTACAGTGGGCCGTGCCCCCGGCCACAGCGCTCTGAGGGTCATGGAGGCCTGGACCTGCTGGTGAAGGTCACATGCCCGACGGAGGCCGTGTTCCTGGCTCCAGCCGGCGGGTATGCACCGCGCTGAGGGGGCGCGCCTGGTGCTCGGAGACAAGGGTGCCCCGCCCTCCCTTGTGCCCGCAGCCGGGTCCTGTCACCGAGGTCGATGGGGCTGTGGCCACGGATTTCTTCACGGTGCTGTCCACGGCCCAGCGCTTCACCGAGGACCAGTGGCTGAACGTGCAGGCCTTCTCCATGCTGCGGGCCTGGCTGCAGCTCAGCGGCCCCGGGGGCCCGGGCGCCCCGGACACAGGTGGGACCTGGCATGCCCCGGAGGACAGGCCACTGGGGCCAAGCCTCGTTGGTGCCAGAGCAGTAGAGGTCGGGCAGGTCCTGCAGGCTCCGCACGGGGCCCTTTCTCCTCCGCAAACAAGCAGCTCACCCGGGCTTCCTGGGGCAGGAGCCTCTGCAGGGAGGGTGTCCAGGGAGGGCCAGGCGGCGTGGCTGACCCGGGCACTGGGAGCTCCGGTGTCCTCTGGGCCTCGGCCCCCTGAGCACCACGGTCCTCTCTCCAGATGACAAGTCGGAGCAGGAGGGCTCCACCCTGTCCGTGCTGTCGGCCGCCTCCTCCGCCGGCCGCCTGCCGCCGCCCGAGCGCCTGCGGGAGAAGGCCTTCGAGTACTGCCAGCGCCTC